GCCCCCCCCCCCCCCCCGTTTTTCACCTTTTTGGGGGGGATCCCCGCCTTATTCGTGGTTTTTCAAAATCCCCCAAATGGGCCGAAAAGGGGCCCCCCCCCCCCCCCCCCCCCCATCCGGGATTCAGAGGGGTGCCCGCGGTCGTAGGTAACAAGTTGTAGCCCCCCTCCCCTCAAATAGCGACGGCCGTGCGTAATTTTTGTGCCCCCTCCCTCGCGTAACAATAATTGCCGTCGAAACACCGGAAACGACAGCGCCGTTCGTGAAACCGTCGTTTTTTTTTTTTTTTCTTGGCGCGCGAGCAGTGTCTTCCGTGCTTCCCCACTCTTGCTCGTACGTGTACATCCGGGCCATGGGGTTCGTGGCCGTGACGGTGTCGATGGTGCTCCAGTCGGCTTACCTCGCTCGGAAGGACATCGCCACTCCAATCAAGGTGCGCTGTTGTTTTTGTTGCTGCTGCTGTTGTTGTTGTTTTGTCGTTTTCTTGACGACGTTTTGAACCTTGATCCCCACTATCCAAGAGTACCGGGGGCCCTATTTCATTTTTCAATCCTGATGCATCCAATTGCCAACGCCAGGTGTGAAACACTCTGTTTTTTTTTTTCAAACTAACCGACGTGCGTGGAAGAAGCCGACCACCTCGTGCCAGGGACACAGCAGACCTCCTCCTCCACGCTCGCCGTAGTTGCTTGCACGAACCCTCCAGGCAGCAGCTAGAACCCTGACGAAGCTAGTAGCTACAGGGGAGACGTCATGTCAAACTCACCTTGTATTATTGTTCGCTTCCGTGTTTTTTTTTCCTCTCTTCTCTTTGCTGCTGCCACCTTATATTATTGTTCGCTTCCGTGTTTTTTTTCCTCTCTTCTCTTTGCTGCTGCCACCTTATATTGTTGTTCGCTTGCGTGTTTTTTTTTCTCTCTTCTTTTTGCTGCTGCCGATTGTTGCTTGCAACACCACAGTCCGTGGCCGGGGCATCGGTGGCAAACCTCGTCCTTGACTGCGTGGCAGTGTTCGGGTTGGGGATGGGGATCAAGGGAGCGGCTCTGGCGACCACCGTCGCCCAGTGGGTCGGTCTGGTGTACCTGGTTAAGGAGGTGCGTGCAATCTTGCCTTGTTTATTTTTTTGTTTTATGCGTCTTTATTGTTGTGAGCGTCGACCGCGTCAGCCGGCAGACCGATGAAAATGTGTGTTTGTGTGTACAGCAGTACTTACATACGTTTTGTGTGTGCATGTTTTGTTGTGTGTGGGGCGTCTTGGTGGCAAGTGTCACGGACCGCTCGCTCTGGTTGGCCAGTGAGAAGCCGTCGGTTTCACCAGAGGGCTAAAACAAACACGACGGGGGGGTGAAATCACGGAGCCCCCGGGATACGGGGGGGTGGGTGGGCGGAGGAGACTCCGTGCAGGTAGGGCCAGCCTCCTTTCTTCGAGTATGTGGTCTCCTGGCCAGTGCTATGATACAATAAAATAGCATCGTTGTCCTGCAGTGGATGGCGCATCACACGGCTACCTCCAGATACACACACGGCTACCTCCAGATACCATAACACCATGTGTTTGCTCCGCGTGGCTCATGAGTTGAAGGATTTTTGTTGTGGGCCTTTCTCTCGGTCGATAGTGCCCCACGCTCTCGAGGGTCAGCCCTGTCTATTCCTGCTCGTTGGCGTTGTTGTGGGAGGTCTGGGAGGGGGTTCGAAATGTATGCTTCTGTCGCGAGGTGCGTATCGTCTACATCACGGCTGCGCTAGCCGGTTGGCCCACAACAACCGTGTGAGCGAAAAAAAAATGTTTTCTACTATTAATAGCATGCAGCCCCCCGGGGGGACAAGGATCGACAAGTTCAAACCCTCATCCTAACGTGTGTATTCTTCGTCAACACGTGTTGTTTTTCCTACAAATAAAATGATATTGCGTCCCCCAAGACTGCAAAACCCAAAAACCAAGAACGCAAAAACCAAGAAGCAAACACACACAATTGTATTTCGAGCTTTGAATTGAAACTGAATTGAAACAAAACCCAAAACAAGCATTTTGAACGCCGAAAAACGGAAAAAAAAAATGTCGACAGTTCTGGCCGGATCTGCAGAAGAGCGGACAGGTGTCCTTCTTCCCTTACCGCAAGGAGCTCAAGACCTTCCTCCAGCTCGGAGCCCCTACGTGCTTGGCCTTGTCGGGGCAGGTGGCCACGTGCGTCGCTGTCACGGTTGCGGCGTCGGGATGCGACACGGTCGCGCTGGCCGCGCACCAGGTGTGTTGGTCTGTTCTCGCCCCACGCAAGATTGATCTTGTCGGGTTGTTGATCTGCGATTTATTGTTGTTATTGTTGCTGTTGTTGGTTGAGCGTAAAGGTCGTCGGTGTTGTTTGTCGCTCTGCTGTTTTTTGTTTGGCGTGCGTAGGTTGCCCGTCTTGAGTGTTGTTGTTGGTGGTGGTGGTGGCGGCGGTGGTGGTATTTCTTAGGTGGCCCGGTCCTGGCAAAGATGTAGCCCAGCCGTGTTCGACTTTCGTGTCGGTGCTGCCAGCTAGCTGGTATTGGTGCTGCTGATGGTGTCGGACGTGTTGATGCCGTTGCTGGCAGCAGTTGATGTTGGTGGTGCTGGTGGTGATCATGGCAGCACCCATTTGGGACATTTTGACGGTGTTGATGTTGATGGTGATGGTGATGTTGATGGTGGGGTTGGATGATGGTCCCGGCGATCCGTTCGTGTGTTGCCAGCACCCAGTTTCTATTTTTTCCATCGGTGTTTCTCTGGACTGCGTGTCCCCCTCCGTTTCCCCGGCTCGGTTCTCTCAACCCCCCCCCCCTTTTTGTGAGACTCAAACTTATTCTGGGCTGCCGAAAAACCCGGCAAAATCGCTCCTTCTCGGCTTTGTAGGGATGCTCCATCATTGGCGACTACGATGGCATGACAATACCCCACGCCCCTTCCCTGTTTGTCGGCCCCCCGTGACCAGATCCTGTACGGCGTGTTCCTGCTCTTCTGCCCCATCGGGGAAGCCGTGAGCCAGACGGTACAGACGTACCTGCCGGGATATACCGTGAAGCGCCCTCCGCGCCGGGACGGAAGGCCCAGAAGAACGCTCACCTTCGGAAAGGTGGGTAAACGTCTTTTGTTTCACCTACAGTAAGAGCTCTGCATGATTCGAAGCTGATTTTTCAGTAAATGAAGCCAAGTAGATGAACCTATTCTTTCACATGGAACCTCGTAATATGTCTTTCACACTGATTAAGAGTTGTGAAAAAATAATGAACTCGTTCAGGTGGGGGCGCCCTCTGAATAATGTGGGTGTCTCGAAATCATTTTGGGGATCGTGTGAATCGGGGCTTAGGTTGAAGTACCTTTGTTGAACGCAGCGCTAGAGACATCCATCTCGACCCATCAGTTCCCTCTCTCTGACTCATCTCCCAACACTTGGAAAAAGAGTCGCGGGCAAGAATCGGAGGATTCGACAGCACGACTATGCCATCCCCATCACCCTTGCCGGTTGCCATGGTGTTTATTCATTTCGCGGACGTTCAAGGTAGAAGCACGATACCCCCGTTGTGCGGGAACACCTACGCCCCCCCCCCCCCGCAACC